TGCTGCCTTCCTCGACCATATTCAACAAGATGATGGGAAAGCTTAGCCAAGGACAGCTGGAAAGGTACGAAGACAACATCATCAAGCTTCAGCTAGACGGAGTGGTGGAAGACTCACCACCAGACCAAGGGAGCGACGAAACGTCTTCTTCCTCCCTCACCGAGGACTGTATCGTCACGACAAGCTCCGGATCGTGTTCGACGGATCAGCTGAGGACGGAAATGGCGTCAGTCTTAATGAATACTTGGAACCTGGAGAAAACCCCCTGAGCCGGTTGGTCGAGGTGCTCCTCAACTTCCACACGTACCCGATCGCCTGTCAAGCCGACATACAAGCCGCCTTCCACCAAATCGCAGTGAAGGAGGAGGACCGACGATACCTACAGCTCATCTTGAAGAACAAGACTCTGCGGTTCCAGCGTGTTCCCTTCGGTCTGACATGTTCACCCTACATGCTTCTGCGGTCGATCCAGATGCATCTTTCTCTGTATGAAGAACTTCACTCAGAGTTGTGCAGAAAACTGGCCGCCGGCCTGTACATGGACGATATCGCGATCGGATTCGCGTCAGTTGAGGAGGCTTCCACACAGATGGACGTGGTACAAAACATCTTCCGAGAAGCCAGTATGAAGATGCACAAGATGCGACTGACCGGAGAGCCTTCTGAAGACTCCAAGATCCTGGGAATGAAGTGGAGCACCGAGAGGGACAACCTTGCGGTTACAATACCCACCTGTTCTTCACCCAAAACAAAGAGTCAGCTGCTCTCGGTCATCGCCAAGCCATTCGATCCCATCGGTGTCCTGAGTCCCTGGCTGATCAAGGGAAAAGTACTTTTCCAAAAGACCTGGCTTTCACCCGAATCCATGACCCGGGACTCCGATCTTCCAATCGAGATTAAAACTCAAGTCGACAGATGGTGGCAGGAAGCTTAAACAACCAAAGAAGTTGAGATCCCGGGATCCATCAGCCCTCTTGGTGAAGACACAGACTTCCACGTCTTCTGCGACGCGTCCAGCAAGGCCTACTGCGCCGTTGTGTACGCTGTCCACGGTGGGGAGTGTCAGCTGGTGATAGCAAAAGCCAGACTGGCTCCTCTGAAACCCGGCCTCACTATCCCTCTCGACTGGAGTTGATGGCCGCGCTGGTGGGAGTGAAGCTGATGTGCTTCGTGAAGGAGACAATTAAAGTCAACCCAAGTCACGTCACGTACTGGACACTCCATGGACGTGCTTTACTGGATTAAGAGCAACAAAGCCCTGAAAGTTTTTGTCCAGAACCGCGTCTCGGACATCCTGAAGCGATCACTACCGGAGCAATGGTACCACGTCTCTACGGAGTAGAACCCAGCAGATCTGGGAACAAGAGGTGTCTCACTCAAGAACCTCACAACCACAACAGAGTGGCTGAAATGTCCAGCATTCCTGACACAGGATCTGACCCGGGCCAACAATCAAAATCAGAGGATCCAAGAGTCAGAGGCTGCGGCGAAGGAACTGAAGGAAACCAACTCTCTCCAGGCCAAGAGTTGGGTACTCACTGTACTCAAAGCGGACGAAAAAGTGCATCACGGAGCTGTGTGAGTGCGGGGGTCGCCTCGACTCGCACATCTCACACAAGAGGACCATTCCCTCTGACGGAATGTTCCAAGCTGAAGCAAGCCATCAACAGGACATCATGGGTGCGGCGGTTCATTGATAACCTGCGCCTTCCAAAAGAGCAGCGAGTGATCGGACCACTCAGACCCGAAGAGCGACGCAAAGTTCTGCCTTTGTGGATCAGGCTGGCTCAAGAAGAGACGTACGCTAAGGATTTGGAGGAAATTCGAGCTCAGCAGCCCGTCTCCTTCACTTCACCGATCAGAAAGTTTCGACCATACGTTGATGAGGAGGGCTTGCTTCGCGCTACGCCTCGCACGGGTGAGTTCCCGGTGATCATCTTGCCGGACCTACGGCACATCATTCTCTGATCATCGACCAAGCCCACAGTCCCTGCTTCCATCAGGGTGTCCGCAGTACACTCGCTCTCCTGTCTGCAGAGTATCTCGTACGAAGGAAATCTGCGCTACGCATAGTACAGACATGCACCAGATGTCGCCGGTATAGAGCTCTGCCTTATACTGAGACGCAATAAGGTCTTCCCGCGTTCAGGACACAGCCATCCCGTTCTTTCGAAAACATCGGAATATATTACTTCGGCCCTCTTCACATTGACGATGCACGCAAAGTATGGGGTCTTCTGATCACTTGCGCTACAAGAGCCATCCACATAGAAGTCGTAACAAGCCAAAGTACAGAAGATCTGCAATCTGCTCTCAGACGCTTCTTGGCGATAAGAGGCACCCCGTCCATCATAGTGAGCGACAACGCAAAGTCGTTCCACAAGATCCTGGGACTGTTGCCGACCAGCGTTAGATGGCGCTACATTCCCGAAGCCTCACCACGGTGGGGCGGCTTTTGGGAAAGACTAGTTGGAAGTGTGAGGGCCGCAATGAAGATCACGCTGCACCAGTGTCATCTGGCCCACGAAGAACTGGTCACACTTTTCTATGAGCTCGCCTTGCATCTAAATCTGAGGCTTCTGACGGAGGATATCACTGACGGGCTGTTGACCCCAGCTCACTTCCTGTTCGGCGTCACCGGCGTCGCGCACATGCAAGGAGTCATTTCCCCATCGGTTAATCCAACCGCATCGCTGGATCGAGCGTGGAGGAACAGGAAGAGAGTTGCCGAGCACCTCATCCAAAGGTGGACCGAGTCCACGGTGACGGGCCATCCGCGTTCCACAAGTTGGTGAAGTAGTGCTGACTGCTGGTGCAGGGAGAAGGAAGCCGCGGCCGTTAGCCGCTGGCCCGAGTGCAGGCTCTTATCAAGGGTCGAGACGGAACTCCAAGTGCGGCGGTCGTATCCCTACGAGGTCGGCAAACTCGAAGACCCGTACCCAAACTGCACCGACTGAAGGCATCATCAGACTCTTCAGATCCATCTCCAGCTACCACTAGTTTCCAGTTGTCAGAGTCGGACTACAGTAGCATCCGCACTGAGCCGCATCAAACCACTCGTGCTGGTCGAGTGGTTCGCCCAGTCCACTTCTATGAACCTCAGTTTAGGCGACCTGGGGTAGTTCATCTCGCACGTGGGGAAACTCAGTCTTCAAATTCTTGGTCCCAGATTTTAACTGAGTGCGGAGGTTCTCCGACTTAAAGCATTACCCACCCCAGACGTGTTTTATTGAATGTCTATTTACCTACGTTTGTGTCATTAACAGGTCAAAATGGAGGTGATGGAACTCATCGATGACGAAGCCGGAGACTGGCTGGCACAGCAGTTGGGGCCAGAGACGGTGCACGTCCGAGAAGCCCGACTCCACCTGCTGATAGGTTACTCTATCGCCCGTCGCTCCGGACTGCGTCCTCGGTCGCCGGCTGACCGGATCCTGAACCGTGCGCGCGGTGGCGCGACGTGGACCAGCCTGCTGGACAGCTTAACGTCCGACATCCAGGCCTGGCAAGTGGCGGCGACAGCCAGCGGCGCCCGCCTCGGCACGGCAATCTTATGGGAAAATGGCTACGAACTATATAGCCGATACACACAGACGGCATCATTCTCGCAGGCTGACCTTGAAGCGGTGGTGCGATTTGCTCAGCGCATACTTGCCCAGCTCCTGGACCAGGGCGCGGAGGATGTGACCATCCTGGGCCCACTTCCGACACCGCAGGGTGAACTTCTGAGGACCGAGTGGTCCCACACCGCAGCCAACAAGATGGAGCGGACCCTGCTCACTCTCAGCGACGGCGAACGGGTGAAGGTGGCCGCTCTGGGACGCCGACTGACTCGCCGCATGGGTCGTCGAGCCCAGGGAATCTGGAGAGTGGAGCGGTGGTTCACCGACGGGGTCCCCCGTTCCCCGAGTGGATATGAGAAGGTGGCGAAGCCGCCACTTTCCCCGCATGGCTGCGGGTGTAGGGTGGTGCGTCTCTCGACGCTCGACGCGTCTCGGTGGACACGTGTGTGAGAAAAAAAAACTTTTTTGGTGGGAAGCATGTGGAGTGTGGGCTCCTGCGGAGGAAAACCGGCAGCTCTGGCGCAGCGGTCAGTGCCGGGCAGCGGCGGCGTTCTCCCCTCCCCTTCCCGTCTGGACCCGTCCGGGACCGTCCTGACGTGATTAGGTCTGTACCATCGAAGGAAAAGTGTTCATGTTGTTCTCGATTGTTGTTTGTTGTTACGTTGCGTATCACGAGGCTGTGTTGCTTGTGTGCTTGTGCCTTGCCTTGTAGCGTTGGCAGGCGCCCCGCCGCCCCGTACTCGCTGTAGCGCCGGCCAATCGGAGGGCCGGGCCGGGCGTTTAGCGCCCCAGGCGCCGGCCGAGCTGACCTGGGATCGGGACTCGGAGCGGCGGTCAGTCCGCTCTCGATCTCTGCGCGGTACGTACCCGTCCGGGGCAGAATCTGCCCCCCTCCCGTTTTTCGCCAATAACTTCTAAACGCGTTACGCCAGCGACGTCAAACTTTCAGTACTTTATCATACATCAATTAAAGACATTTCCAGAAAATTTGAGCGAAATCCGTCGGAAAATATTTGAGAAAATGACGTTTTAGTGACGTCATGTTCGCCATTTTCACCTCAAAAACGGCAAAATTTCAAACGCCGCTAACATCTTCATTTTTAAAGGAATCAAGACGTAACAAAAAAGGTTATACGTGATTCTACGGTAGGTAAGTCCCAACATATGCGCAACATTTTCTATATTTGGCTACGATTACGTAATTAGCGTACCCATTTTAGGAAGATGCGTACCCATATATGGAAAATCCTTCCAAAAATGGAAGATTTGACCTGACACCCACTTTCAACTGCACGTCCCCCGCCACAGTAGGGTGCCAGCTCGGGAACTCTGTGGACAGCGGCAGGGCGCTCCAAGTTTCCACGTGCAGGGCGACCTTTCAATATCTTCACGGGGCCCACCAGCGACAGCTCCCGCCCTGTGCGCGCCGCTTCTTACCGAGGTGTCGCCCCATCCGACGGCCACGACGTCCTTGTTGGTGTAGCGGGACCGGTGGGGCATGCAGATGGGCGCGATCAGGTTGCCCATCGCGGGCACGGCCAGCGCGTCCGTCAGTCGCAACAGCGCGATGTCGTACTCTAGCGTGTTGTCATTATACTGCGGGTGAATCCGTATCTGTAAAAAGATGCGAAAATCAATGCTGATGAGAATTAATCTAGTGAAGTGGTTCTTGGAGGATCATTACCGATGTATAACATAAGGAATTATTTAATCATAACCTTTCCTCCTTTAAAAAAATATACTTAGCCAAACTTACATTGTTTTAGGGTTTTCAAGATATATGGGACACAGGCCGATGAAAGGATATTAGTTCTATAGCCTTGGATATTTCACATATAACTGAAATATCCTTTTGGATAGTTCACTGATAAAGGCCCAATTGAGCATGACTTCACAAACCCCGTCATACCTATCTCTCCCGCACATCAGCTAATTGTGTTGTCAGCCCTTGCAGAAGGTCACTTGGCTATCGCGTCACGTCAGTGACCCGATAGCAGTCACGCCAAGTGACCCGATGGCCATTGTGTGAGGAGGGCATGAGATGCAAAATGCACAACACACATTATCGGCGATTTCGCGGGCCTCCTCTTGTTTTTCTAGATAAGTAAAAGCGTTAATTGGGTACGGCCATTTGCGACCCTCGGCCCTCGCTCCCCGCCCTCATTATCTCCATATAGAAGTATGCTGAATACTGAAAACCCTGCCGGGCGACGGGTTAATGCATGTAACCTTAGTTTTTATCAGGAAAAAAACTATATGCATTGAGTGCGCTCACCTACATGTGTGATCGCTGCATGGCTGATGGTGTTTGGATCGCTGAAATCGCCGCTGTCACGTTATCAGACTCACAATGTTGATATCACGGGGCAGGTCGTTGCCGGAATCCGACGACGTCGCGTGTCTTCCGAATACGACTGTGACGTCGGAGGGGCCGAGGGAGAAGACGCAGTGCGCCGCAGTGACCACGTATCTGTTGTTGAGCAGCGAGCCGCCGCAGAAGGGCGCGGTGTCTCCGTCCAGGAACAGCGCCGCCTGTTGGACGACAGGGAGAGCTCAGCAGCGCCAGCAGTCAGCACCCCTCCACCGTCATATACCTACCATGTCATTTTCTCCAATTGAGTTACAAATTGTAAGTCGATGGGAGAAAATATTATATTAAGTTTTAACCCGCACCGTAGACAGTGTTAACAATTGCTTCACGTGCAAGGAGAGAAAATTGTCAGATGCCGTTTAACTGATTTGTTAAACGTCTAGACGATTAAGACATTGTTAACGTCTAGTAGATATTTATTTCGTCTAGCCTGAAATATGTCGTATTTTTGGAATACGAGAAATGGAATATCTTTGCTCAGGGTGATTGTTGGGCGTAAAAGCTCCTGATATGTGCTTGCAGCTCAAGCTACAAAACTGCTATTTCAGTTTAAAACCCTATGTTAAAATTGAACTGTTTCCTTTGGGGACCCGAGCAATTGTTCAGTCGTGGTAGCAAGAGCGTGTGTTTCCTGTTTCGTGAGGTGACATGTGACCGGCGACCGCATGTGACCTGGTGAGCTGAGCATTGATGACATGGGGAGAGGAGGGGGCTAAATCGATTGGGGGGGGGGTGATTGTCAAAATTCAAAGGGCATCTTATTGACCCGGAAAAGCTGACGTGCGATACCTTGTTTCATTGACCTTTAGGTCATCGATGGCGTCAGGCTAGGTCAAAGTAAAAATTATCAACGTTTTAGCTTGTTCACGATTCGGGCTTGGCCGCCGGCTAAAAAGTCAGGTTTACACACTCTTGAATAGACGCTTTAGATATCCTGAGAGTACCAATCTTATACTTTAGTTTTTCAGGTAAAGGCCAGGTTATCCTGGTTCACGGAAATTTCATACCATGCATCGGTCACGTGACATGTGGTATGGTCCATTTAGGCCATAAATTTCGAAATCAGTGCCATCTGTGTCATTTGAGGCCATATTTTCACCTAAATACAACTGAGGTCAGGTAATTTTCAGGTCAAATATGAAGGTTGAGATTTTTCACCAAAAAGGTGGTTATCAAATGCAGTTTGAGCGCATGGACGCGATGGTGCCATTTATCTTTGTGTACAGTGTCGAACACGTCCCGAAAATGGCTTTGATTTTTTTGTTTTTATAATAGTAAATATCATTCATAATATATATTATTGAATTCAAAGCGTATACATATCTTAGCTGTTTTAGAAGATACAGAACTAAAACTTCACTGAGTAGATAATCGGATGTGTTTAATCACATATATTCCGTTTTTCACTTGAGGGGAACATTAAAAATACAAAATTTGGGTTTTATATTTATAATTTTCATCAGTGTCGAAAGTTTGAAAATACGAGATAGGAACTTTAAGAGCAGGTGTATTGGAGCAGGCGTTAAGAGCAGGTGTACGCTCACTGTGTATTCTGAGTCCTCTCATGCAAAGAAATTGGATCTAGCTTAACAACTGAGCTTTTGAGAGCTATTCCCGCAGTTAAATGTTTAACATCAGAACCGGCCGAGCATGGCGTCACTCTGACGTCATTTCCGGCCGACGTATAGTAGCTACTAGCTACGAAGCTTTCATTCGATCACAACGTGTCAAATCGATGCAGACGAATGTACTGCACGTTTCCTGTTGATACGTCCAGGCGGTACCGGGTCCAGCGGTTTTACCCGGCAGTTGCTGGAGTATTTCGCCACCCACCGTTTGCTGGGGGGGGGGGGGGCGTTAAACGCCCCCAGCCGATAACTCGAGAACCAATAGGCGCAGCGAAACGCACGAGGCGGCAAACGAAAGAACGCGACGAGACGCTTCAGATGAGTACTTCAAAGTTGAATTTTGAGGTCACAGGTCGGGTCAGGGTCAGGTCAAACACCTGAAATCGGGCTTTCAGTAGCATGGACTTCAGGACTTCGCAATGGGCGCCTCTCGTCATAAACTCTGTCAAAACGGTGCACAATCCATCATATAAGGCCTACAAGAATGTCAGCTCCATGTTGGGGTCAGTCAAGCATAGGTCAGGGTCAAGGTCAGGTCAACCGGGTAGGCACATATCCCCGAAAATCAAAACTGATATTCGCAGCCCGTGACACATGTTTTATGAGTAATTTGGGGCGTAGAACACTATGGTGACATTCATTTTATCATATGTGTACGTGTTTGGCTCAAAAAGTTCAATTTAAGAAATGCATGTATCATGGTCGTGAAGAAGTCACGAGAAATTGCCAAGATTCATTTCAAGATTTTGGAAAATGTGGAACGATAATCAATAATCGAAGATAACCATTTGATTGTTCATGGCATTGGCAGTCTAATGGCGTTTACGGCATGTCTGTATGTCTATTCTGTGATTTTATATGTTTTTTGAACATATGCTGTTTTTGGTCAAAAACTCAGAAATCATGACGTCACTAAAACCTCGATATCTCAAAAAAATTTCCGACCGATTTTTTTGAAACTTTGTCACAATAAACTTCAACCCAATCCCTACAGCTACCCAAAATTTGGCGCGCCGTTTTTTTATGCTATGGCCCGGCGAAAAAAGTGGGGGCGTTTAACGCCCCCCCCCCCCCAGCAACTCGCGGGTTAAAAGATATTGCGGAAACACGAAAGGGGGCTATTGATGCCCCCTTCCAGTGGGGCGCGAGTTAACTAAGGGGACATGCAAAAGAAATAAAATATAAAAAATGTCAGCCAAGAGAGAGAGAGAGAGAGAGAGAGAGAGAGAGAGAGAGAGAGAGAGAGGAGAGAGAGAGAGAGAGAGAGAGAGAGAGAGAGGAGAGAGAGGAGAGAGAGAGAGAGAGAGAGAGAGAGGAGAGAGAGAGAGAGAGAGAGAGAGAGAGAGAGAGAGAGAGAGGGAAAGGAGAGGGACGAGGAGAGGAGAGAGGAGGGAGAGAGAGAGAGAGAGAGGAGAGAGTGAGGAGAGAGGAGAGGAGGGAGGGAGGAGAGGAGGGAGGAGAGAGGAGGAGAGAGGAGAAGAGAGGGAGAGAGGAGGAGGGAGAGAGAGAGATGGGAGAGAGAGGAGGAGAGAGAGGTGAGAGAGAGAGGAGAGAGAGAAGAGAGGGAGAGAGAGAGGGAGAGGGAGCGGGGGAGAGAGAGAGGAGGAGAGAGAGAGGGGGAGACGGGAGGAGAGAGAGAGAGGAGGAGAGAGGAGAGAGGAGGGAGAGAGAGAGGAGAGGGGAGAGAGGGAGGAGGAGAGAGAGAGGGGAGGAGAGGGAGGAGAGGGGAGAAGAGAGGAGAGAGAGAGAGAGGAGAGAGAGAGAGAGGGAGGAGAGAGAGAGAGAGGAGAGAGAGAGAGAGGAGGAGAAGAGAGAGAGAGAGAGAGAGGAGAGAGAGGAGAGGAGAGAGAGAGAGAGAGAGAGAGGAGAGAGAGGAGAGAGAGAGAGAGAGATTCCGTTTACCACCGAAGCGTCAGTCACCTACCATCCATGGGTACTGGTTTTCGGCGGCATCCGTCCCGCCAACGATTCTCACGGCGTCGTTCTCTTTGCCGCAGCACTCGCTGTGTTTGGCCAGGCCCGGGATGAACCGGCCTCGCGGTGTCAGGAACTCAAAGAACGGGAAGAACCGGGTCTGTGCTGTCGACGCGTCGGATGGAGGCTCCGGCGGCGGCTGCCGCGCTGTCAGGGCTCCCGCAGACGGTCGCTGGGGGCCCACGTCCTCTGAGGGCTGTCGACAACCCAGAGAGCGATAGTGTCAAGTGTCATCGCCTCTGTGTCCCGAACCGTAGGTATTCCGTTTTCCAACCAAGCAGAGGCGGTACCCGGCGAATACAACACTGTGTCATTACAAAGCGGTTAAGACCTCATCGCCGCCAGCTGGTTACGTGGTTAAGTGATTAGGGGGCGTCCGCCTCGTAATTGTATTTGTATTTACGATCATGGGCGATCCACACATGGCGTGGCGATTACTGCCCAGAGTCTGAGTCGGGTATAAGCATGCAGGAACAGAGACCAGTCGAACAACAACACACACACACACACATACACGCACACACAGGAAGACTCTATAAGCTACGATTTCTAACATACCGTGTAGGTACTTATATACATACAAGACGAGTGCCTAATTCAGGCCATCACGAAGGTCTATCGTTTTTCCACAGAGACTTGACAGCGCGTGCGAATTTAGAGGGTGGCAGCTGTGAGAGGTCGGGAGGTAGGTCGTTTAGGAGCTCGGCGGCACGGTAACTGAAACGCCGCTTACCGGTTTCTAGTCTGGGACGCTGGAGCTGGAGAAGGTTATCCTGACGTGTATTTCTATTCCTGGTTGAGGAGTCCCGGTTTTTGGCAAACATAGAGGCAAGTGCTACCGGTTCGCCGTAGTGTATCGCCTTACGTGCAGTGGCCATGGTTTGAAGTTTGTACATAAATTCGGGCGGCATCCAGTTGAGTTTCTCGCGCAGGTCAGTGACGTGGTCGAATTTGCGACGGCCAAAAATAACTCGAGTAGCGAAGTTCAAGATCTTTTGGAGTCGATTCAGGTTCTTTTTTGTACCATTTCCGTAAACTGAGAGGCAGTAATTTACTCGGGAGATAACTAGAGATGTGACAATGGTTTTGATGACCCCATCGGGAAGACAGTGCCGCACATGGGAGAGGCCGATGAGCAGACCCATACACCTCCGGCTGAGCTCAGATACATGGGCTTCCCAGGTCAGACAGCTGTCAAACACCACGCCGAGGTTTTCTGCCTGCGCACATGGTTCCAGCTCCGTGTCACGAAACGATACGACGACTGGGGGCAAGTGTTTTAGATTTTGACGGCTGCCGAATATCATGAGTTGCGTTTTGCTCGCGTTGACCTTCAGGGCGTTAGAGTGGAACCATTTGTTCAGTGCTTCTAGTGAGGCCTCCATGCGCGAGATAAGGCCACTTACATTGTTTTTTGGGCCACTCACTAGAAGCTGGGTATCATCTGCATATTGGAAAACGCATGCGTCGTCGGCGTGAAGCGCCAAATCGTTTGAGAAGATCGTGAATAAAAGAGGACCCAGGGCCGAGCCTTGAAACACGCCCATAGTGTTAGGGAGTGGTCGTGACAGAACCCTGCGCTGGAGTCCATCGGTCATTGAAACGCTTTGTGTGTGACCTTTTAGATATGCTTTAAACCAAGGAGTTTCGATGCCATACAGTGCGAGTTTGTCGAGAAGGAGTTTATGATCTATGACATCGAAACATTTGCTGAGATCGATAAGGCATAGGAAAGATATGTCTCCCCTGTCCGTGGCAGCTAGGATGTGGTCGGTGACGGACAAAAGCAGCCCCCGTTCACGAGCTCCAGAATCCCTTTACCGTGACGTCACCACGGCGGCAGAATCTCCCTTACCCATAGGCATGCATGCAAATTTCATCATCTTTCGGGCGAGCTGGAGAAAAAATCAAGGCTTATATGTCATCAAAAGATGTACCAATGTAACAATGAATTCGCCTCATTACGATAAATGGGACTGAAACTAAAAAAGTAGGACTATATCGAGCCAAAATCAGCAACTCAAATGACCCATTCATTTGAATGTGAAGGATTTCCTCTGATTACGTCACCACGGCGCCTTTATTTCCCTAGTGAACCAACCTGAGTAGTAAAGGAATCTTGGACAAAAGTGCTGTTTCAGTTGAGTGTTGGGGTCGAAAGCCATGCTGACTAGGTGCCAAAAGGTGATTTTGAGAGAGATAGTGTTGTAGCTGCTGCTGGATGACTCGTTCAACAACTTTCATGATAACTGGTACTAGAGAAATGGGTCGAAAGTTGCTGGGGTCAGATGGGTTTCCGGATTTGAAAATGGGATGGACTGTGGAATGCTTCCATTGCTCGGGGATGTCAGATTTCGAGATGCAGGTGTTTATGATGTGCTGTATGACGCTGCCAATAGCCAAGAAACTGGTTTTTAGCATGCGGATGCACACACCGTCCGCTCCGCAGGCGGCTGAGTTCCGCATACTGAAAACCGTGCATTCGAGCTCACCGAGTGAGATAGGCCTGGGCTGGAAACCGCATGCGCCGACGCGTGGGAGCCGTGCGTAAGTATAGGTACCTGTGTTTTGGTTTCGGATCTCGGTAGCAATACGGGGGCCGACGGACACGAAAAATGAGTTTAGTTCGTATGAGCTGATTTGATTTGAATTGATAGATCGAGGGCTCGCAGCCGGCTACCCGGAGTTGTCTTGGCCCGTTGAAGCTTCGTAGGTTGTAAATACGTAGGTTTGTAGGTAGCAGGTTGTAGGTTAGGTTAGGTCAGGTTAGGTTTGTTTTGGTTTAGCATCTTTATTAGCATCATCAGAAGCATCTTCGGGTAGCGCCTCTCCTTGGTTGGATAAACAAGACTCGCTGACCCAAACAATCATTTTGTCGTACTCCACCAAGTAGGGGAAGGTGGGGTAAGACGGACCAGCTAAGGTTTGAGGCCGCATATCTTGCTACACTGCTCTCATAGCTCATATTGTTTATAGTCTTCTGATTACTCAATCCTTCCTTTTCTGATATGCGCAAGGACTGAATTTCAACTTAAAGTAATCTAGGTGGTTGCTGCTCTTAGAGGGTGGCATGTCAAAATCACCGACAAGAAAAACGAGGGGTAAGACGGACCACCCAGCAGTGCTTGCTACCCATTCACGTTCGGTACACTTCTAATCTGTACTTTTGTAAGCAGAAGCAACCAACGGTTGTAGCGTTTGACCTAGAGAAAAATAGAAAAATAGTTTTGGTGACCTGAGGACAGACATGGATGATATAACACTGGATTGGTGTCTCGTGGAAATTAACATTGGGATCCGCGACATTGGGATCAGGCCTGCCATCTAGCGAGAGAATTATCGTAAGTTAGGAGCAAGCCGAGTGAACGCCATCTCTCAGCATTATGGCACACGTGGATGTGGTGTGTTAGTTGGCTTGAAGTGCATATTCCCACGAGTTGGAGGTAATCTTACTTGACCTGAGACGACAAAAAATGTCTTAAATGCTTGAAAGCCAAAAACGTCAAGCAGCCTTTAGGTAATAACGAAAATAAAATGCGTAAGACGGTGTGTATTGAAACGCCCAGTCCGATCGGCTTGTACCTTTTATGTGGTCATTTACTCACAAGGGTACAGCAGTTTGACAATATGTCATACAAGTATTTGGTAGGCTTATTCCTTCTTCTCCGAATTTCGCCCGATTTTCTTCATCTTAGTTAATGTTACGGCACGTGCCACGTGCCAACTTAGGGCTGTCGAAATTGTTCCACATAAAGTAACTCCGCAATGGCTGGGCCCATTACAGTAAAACTTCAATAGTTAGGCACCCAGTGGCCAATGCATGTCCATGTGTCACTATGGGGGTGCTACTGCACGTGCGCACGTGCGGGGTGCCGACTGCCGCTTCCATATCTCAAGAACGGCTGGGCGGATAACACTCAAACTTGGTATACAAATGTCACATCGATGCTCGCACTGCATTGATCAGTGCTTACATTGGTGCAGAGTCATTAGGAAAACGATGAAATGAGATGCGTGCCGCGTGGTGTTTATGCCTTTCTGTTTCAGCAGCTGATTGATCCGCAACAGGAGATCCCTGTTTGTGAAGGCTTCGTCTCCCTTTTCCATTCCTTGTTTAAAATAACATGACCATGTACGAAGAAGTTCACACATCAAAGTTGTTTTAGGCGGCTATCTTGGGCCAGGGCTGCGGAATTGAAGTCAGAGCCAGCGGTTCTCTTACGACCCGGAGTCGGTTGATTTTTAAAAGCTGTAGTCTGAGTATGAGTCGAAGGTCACCGAAAAGTCATCGACTCCACAGACTTACCAGCGCTGCAGAGCCGGAGCCAGAGTCGGAGTCTGTGTGAACCGATAGTTCTGCCCGGAGGAGTCGGAGTCGATATTTGAATACCGGAATCGGAGTTGGAGCCAAAGTCACTGAAATTTCATCGACTACGCAGCACTGGTTGGGTCCTTTTCATAGAGCGTCTTTTGAATTACATATTGAGCGACAATGACGTTAGCAATTCCGTTTAACTTTTCATTATACTTATAGATAGTACTTACGTTCGTTTTGTTCTTTGATCCGGACAATTTGTTTGATTTAGGCCAAGTAAAGACTCATGTGAAAAATAGCGAAAACGACACGTGCTAGCGAAGTCTCCAATAACTCCCTGTTTCACGATTTAATGAGGAAATAACATGGAACTGCTTATCTTATTACTGACCCTGCACATAAATCTATTAATTTCTTCGCCTTCACTGACATATAAGGACATAACCTGTTGAAAAATTGCACAACAAGCCTGCTACTACAACACACTCCCGAGTGTCACAATGCTAATCAGCGGCGTTCACTCGGCTTGCTCCTAACTTACGACAATTCTCCCGCTAGATGGCAGGCCTGAGCTCAATGTCGCCAAAAACTGCGAAGACACCAATCCATTATTATCTCATCCATGGGACAGAGGTTAGGTCAACGACCCCGATCTGTGGTTATAGTTTTTCGCAAATAACTTCGACGAAGATGGTCCAAGAGCTACGGCAGTCGTACCATCGCATTCGCTTTGTCAAGCCGCGTCGCATGATGTATATTTTGTTTTGAAAAGGTAAAGTTGTATGTTGACCCCATGTGACCTCGAATGACCTTTGGTTGACCTTGACACATGAAAGGTCGTCAAAGATGCATTCGTACCCGTTGATCACGAAACTGACATCTATTTTCCTCTAAGCCTTCATTTAGAGCCTCCGGATGGCAAAATTGTCTTATTTATTATTGGGTACTAACTTGAATAAGTGAAATAGAAACCTCTAACAAGGATACTCTTCTTTGACCTTGACCTTTGAGCAGCCTTGTATCGTAAGATGAACCACAAATAGGGACCCGATAAGCCTAAAAACATTTCAAAACATCTTGGAAGTTAGCACGCAAGATGTACGAAAAAGTGCAAAGGTTGAAGTCAATTTTGAGCATGACCTTGACCTTGACCTTTCATTTTGAGCACATTTTCGGAATTCTCAAATTCTCTTCTTTCGTTGGACACCCAATTTTGCCGGTTTTAGGCATTCTGCAGTCCTCTAGAACGCTTACTATGAGATCACTACGCCTGTGCCGGTTTTTGTCTTTGACCTTAACCTCTGACCTTGAAAATTTATCGGAAGTCAAAAGTTTTAGGTGCTTTAGAATCGTCTCATAAGGAACCTTCGTTTAGTATCGCTTTCGTTTCCGTAGCCCCCTTATTTACGGAATTAGACAAGGGGGGCGAAAAACGCCCCCCCCCCCCGGGCTGCGGTGGTTGGGATTACCCCCGGGCCCGGCCGGGTTAACTTTGGGCTGGTCACAACTATTCTGCTTTGGCAAGTTCTTTGAGCACTTAATACCGGGCTTGGGTTGCAAAAGCTTGTGACAATTTGGGAAACTTTATATTGCAGTCGCCATCATGTTAAAGTAGAATGTGGAAAACCGCCGTTATTCGCCATTGTCGATGATAATGATGACTAAATATCAATCCGCCTGGTGTACAGTAACGTCCCGTTTGCTTGTTCGAATAGTCCCTCACCGGCCTTACGTCTCCAAAGGTTTAGGCTATAGCACACAGGGGCGGCGCTGACCTTTTGAAAGTAGGTAGGCACTTGGTAGGTAAGGCAGAAAAGCTTAAAGGGGCTATCCCACCTTTGACATGGGGTTTGAGTTGAACATGACTTAGTCACCGGCAGTCATGCAATTGCAGACCGCCCGAAATCAAGGAGATGTGTCGCCGCTGCTTTCGTGACCTATATAAGAATCAAAATGGTTTCACTTGGTAGTTTCGGAAGAAAAAGCGTTGCCAATCGTCCCGTGATGAATATTGCAGAGGTTTTAACGATGCACCCTAACAATTGTACTTTCGCCCCCACTTGAAAACCGCTAAACAATGTGCCAATATATCATTGGTTCAAAAAAAGTTAAAATTGTTGTAATTCAAAACTGTATGAGACAGCGCCATCTAGTTGTTACGAGCGAGCGAGCGCAGCGAGCGAAGCGAAGTCTTTTCAATATAACGGAAAAATATCAGTATGAGCGGCCCGGCCCGGCCCGGCCTGTAACGCTTTTGAGAGGCTTATATCTCAGCAACCGCTGGACTGATTGGCCTGCGGTCTTTTTTGCTGGGTAGCCCCATCCATTCTACCCCGTAATTGACTACTTTTAATACATCTCAGTGACCGTCGTGGCACGTGCCACGTGAAAAGTCAAGGGTGTTCAAGCAGTTTTGCAAAAGTAATGATTTTGAGAGGCCCATATCTCAGCAGCGGCTTAAGCGATTGTCTTGCGGTAATTTTTATAGGGTAGCTGCATCCCTTCTACCAAAGGTCGGATACTCTTGATCTATGTGAGTGACCCCCACTGCACGTGCAAAATACAAAAAGAAGAGGTGCCAAATTTGTTCCCATTTCAGTAACTCGGTAATTACTGGGGCGATTTCGCTGAAACTTGGCATACAGATAGGCACCCACCAGGCAATGCATTCGTATGTGTTGCGGTTAGGGTGCTACTGCACGTGCGCACGTGCAGGGGGCGTTTCCAGATCTCGAGAACGGCTGGGCCGATTGCGCTCAAATTTGGTACACGGTTGGGGACCGGCTAGTAGGGTGCCGTGCAAGTCATTTTGGACCCCGTTTGCACGTGCGCACGTGCAGAATGCCGCTTCCAGATCTCAGGAACGGCTGGGCCGATTGCGTTCAAATTTGGCACACCGCTAGCGACCGGTTAGAAGGGTGCTTTGCACAAGCCCGTTGGAAGTACCCTCTCGCCCTTCCACACGTGCAGGGCGCACTATCTCGCTCGCTCGTTCTTCGCCCAAAAGGCGTTTTACTGGTAACAGTAGATCCAACTCCTTCAGGGCAGGTTATGTAAAGGTTCGCCATCCACGGATACGCGTTTACGATACCTCGAGTAGTTCCAACTCTTTCAGTGAGGGCTGTGCCAATGACTCGACACCCGCCTTGACAATATCCGGTGCTGGGTAGCTACCTTACTGCAGACTGTGGGTACAGTGCATATTTACGAGTAATAAGGCAGGCAAGTCTGCTTACCCTCTAGCTAGAATCTGGACATGGCGAGTTAAAGGGACCCTCCCACCTTCAAAAAAGTTAATGAATTGGCATGAAAGTGATGTCCCTCGGTTCAGAAAGAGCAAAAACGAATATCTACCAAATTTCATCGAAAAATATTCACCGGTTTTCAAGATATTAGACTTTTACTTTTGTTTACTTTTTGGGATCTCCGCTGTTCCTAGCGACTTTATTTGAAAGTGCGGCATTTGTTGCGCGCAAAGCAGCATATACCACCGCGTGCTACAAAACGTTTTAGTCAAACATTTAACGGACGTTCGAAAGCCTGATGACGTCATCAGATTCCCGTAATGGTTAAGAGATAGGGACCACGCTGGTCCCACCCTGCAAGTAAAGGGAAGAAATTTCTTGAACACCATAAAGCTGCGGGGGTTGCGACCAGGATAAATGGTGGTTTCTGAGCCTGGCCGCAAATTTGGCTATCTCAACTCAAAACTAATGTTAATTAAGGTGGGAGGGTCCCTTTAAAGGAAAGGGGCCACCTTCGTGAAATATGAAGATATCGTTGTTTTTCATTTTGACATTATTATTTTTCATTTTCTTTTTAAAACTGGTGCCAGAAGTGCACAATTCGCGAAAAAAGTATTTAAAACTATTTAACATATTGGTACTATGTTGATACTCTCTACGGCACCTACTGTATGATGGCATAGCGATGACGTCACACTCAAGCCAATCAGCGTTCAGAAGACAGACTCGTCGGATTGTGTCAGATAAGCTGATTGGTTAAAGCTGAGCTGGTTGGAGCTGATTGGTAAAAAACCAAAGCCTCGCCGCGGGTGGCTGTATTGTCGGATAAGAACGCATTCCTTGGATAAGGACGCATTCCTGGCGTATTTTCTTTTAAAATTGCCGATAACTACGAATGGAGGCCGAAATCGGCCGTAAGGAGGTAGACAGATAGGTTTTCGGACACGGGCTACAAGATGGCTATCTCAGTTTCAATCCCCATGTTAAAGGTGGCCCTTTTCCTTTAAAGGGACTGTCCCACCTTACCTTTGCATTAGTTCTGAGTTGAGATAGCCAAGTTGGCGGCCAGGTTCAGAAACCACTATATATCCTGGTCGCAATATCCTCAGTTTCGTGGTGTTAAAGAAATTCGTTCCCTTCATTTGAAAAGTGGGCCTTAGCTAAGGCCCTATCTCTTAACTATTAACGGCCATTTGATGACCTCATTTGCATTTTGAACGCCTGTCACGCATGTGAAGTTTCACTTGATTTATGAATAAGCTTATCAGAGACACTTGTTATTGTATGAGCCGCGTCATATTTGAGAGCAAATACCTATATTTGCTGCCAAATTTCCCCCACATTGACATGAAGTAAATCCTTCATTACGTCACAGATCCGATCTAAATGACGTCACGATGAAATATAAAAGTCGCAATATCTCAAAAAGTATACCATGAAAACGCGTAAAAACTTGCAGAATTCGTCACAATATCATGAGTAACATTTCCGAATCCTAAATGGTACTTTTTTGAAGATGGGATAGTCCCTTTAATACACATATACCACCCGCAGAGCAACGCTTAATTCGCCAGCTTCGGGTGAAATTGTTTTCAGTGAACGACCTCCAGCACCGCCGGCAGGCAGAGACCACGAACCCGGCCCAGCGTCCGCCCGTCGCGCGCAGACTTTTTTTTTGCTTCGGCACGCCATTGGAATCTTAAAAGGCTCACGCCGGTGGCCACGACATTGAAGTGGTAGCCTAGCGGGGTCATAGTTGAGAGATGCAAGACCGAAGGTACAGTCACTCCCCCGCCGACCAATCAGAGACAGATCCGGGGTGACGTCACCCCTGATGCTCGCAAGGGGTACTCCGTTCCTTTACAACGTAAAAATGACTAATTTTATTTCAGGATTATTGATGGCAATCTACACCTACCGCTCAACCGCTGATGTCGATGGAAAGCCCAACTAATTTTCTAGCGACAAAAAAAGAGCAGCAATATGCTAAGAAATGACTGAAGATATAGACGA